TGATCTAAATAATAATGAAGTTTCATTAGTCCGCAGACCCAGGGGCGGAGCTTAATTGTAAAATCCATATTTCCTTACAAAAACTTACCATTTTAAACGTCTTTTAAGTTTCTTAGAAAAAATTCATCACAATTGAGATTGGGGCGGGCGGGTGGGGTTTAATCTTTGTTTTTTTTTAATATATAGAGTTTTCTTTCAACAACAAGATAGTTAACGTGTTTTCAGTTTCTTGTTGGGGAAAAAGACTTCGTATATTAAGAAAAACTGGACAAAATATATGATCCCGCCCACCCACCCCTTCTCAATTGTCATTAATTGTATATTCATTGTGAGCTTTATTGCAAAATCCTCATTTCTCTACAAGAAGTTACCATTTGAACATTGTCTATCAAAGGGTAGAATTTTCTAGAGAAATCGGAAAAATGGAAAATTCAAAAATGAAAACCCGAAAAGATATCGCAGAATTGTAGAAAACAAGACAAAAAATTGAAAAATTGCATATGGAAAAATTGACGAAACGAAAAATTGAAAAAATGTGGAATTGAAAAAATAAAAAGTTATAAAATCGGAGCATCGACAAATTGAAAACTTGTAAAAATAAAGAAAATAAAAAACTGAAACGAAAAATTGCAAATGGAAAAATAAAAAATTGAAAACTTGAGAAACTCAATTTGAAAAATTGCAAAATGTATAAATTGAAATTTCAAAAATTGAAATCGGAAAAATATTTGTTTATATTTTGGGGTTTCTTTGTCTTAATATACTTAGTATTCTTTGAATAACTCGATATTCAAAAACATATTTTTAATTCCTTGTAGAGAAATAAGCATTTTGCAGTTAAGCTCCGCCCTCTTGGTTCTCGGCGAATAAAAAAAATCATCAGAATAGCGATAGGGCGGGTGGGCGGGCTTACATTTTGCCTTTGTTGTTTTAATATGTGTAGACTTCTTTTCACAACAAAAAACTTAAAACATGTTTAAAAAAGGAAAATTTGTATAAGGAAATACCGATTTTGCAAAAATCCTTACGTCGTACAGTCCAAAATCATTGAATAATGTATTAACACTATATTTTTTACTCCTATTATAACATCTTTTGTTCTTTGTGCCAAAAAATTGTTGAAAGAAAACTATGTACATAAAGAAAAAAAAACAAAGATCTCAGTTGTCAGTTTTTCATTGCCAATCAGATCGAGAGGCGGAGTTTAATTGTACCGTCAAAATTTCTCAAAAAAATTTTGCCCTTTTAAAAACATAACTATTTTATATTGTAATTTGTTGAGAGAAATGAGAATTTTGCAAATAAGCTCCACCATTTATCTCATGATGTATAAAAAATTCATCACAATTGAGAAGGGGTGGGTGGGCGGGGCATATATTTTGTCCATTTTTTCTTAATATACAAAGTCTTTTTAGATAACAAGAAACTGAAAATATGTATATTAACTATCCTGTTCTTGAAAGAAAACTATATATTAAAAAAAAAAACAAAGATTAAACCCCACCCACCCCCCGATCTCAATTGTGATTAATTTTTCATTCGTTGTTAGACCGGGAAGTGGAGCGTAATTGCACATTTTATTTCTCTACAAAAATTATTTCATTTGAAATTCTTTGTTTTTTCAATTTCACTTTTTTTCAATTTTTCATTTCTTCAGTTTTTCTATTTGCAATTTTTAATTTTTTGTTTTTCTTTTCTACAATTCTGCGATATCTATTCGCGTTTTCATTTTAAAATTTTCCACTTTTTCGATTTTTCAACTCTCCAACGTTTCAATTTTTAGATTGTGCCGTTTTGCGATTTGAAATTTCACGAGTTTTGAATATTACAGAGCTTTTGCAGTAATAAACAGTAATCTATTTTATCGATATATGACATCACATTGTCCATTACCATCAATTACCGACTACGTATATTACAATTAACGTAAAATATAAGCCCCGCCCACCCGCCCTATCTCAATTGTGATGATTTTTTTTAATGGTCGAGAGCCAAGGGAGCGAAATTTAATTGCAAAACCCTTATTAGTTCTCTACAAGAAATTACCATGTAAGACATGTTTTTGAGTAAACTATTAAAAAAAAATTAAATCCAAAGATTAAGCCCCACCCATACATGCCCTGATCTAAATAATAATGAAGTTTCATTAATCCGCAGACCCAGGGGCGGAGCTTAATTGTAAAATCCATATTTCCTTACAAAAACTTACCATTTTAAACGTCTTTTAAGTTTCTTAGAAAAAATTCATCACAATTGAGATTGGGGCGGGCGGGTGGGGTTTAATCTTTGTTTTTTTTTAATATATAGAGTTTTCTTTCAACAACAAGATAGTTAACGTGTTTTCAGTTTCTTGTTGGGGAAAAAGACTTCGTATATTAAGAAAAACTGGACAAAATATATGATCCCGCCCACTCACCCCTTCTCAATTGTCATTAATTGTATATTCATTGTGAGCTTTATTGCTAAATCCTCATTTCTATACAAGAAGTTACCATTTGAACATTGTCTATCAAAGGGTAGAATTTTCTAGAGAAATCGGAAAAATGGAAAATTCAAAAATGAAAACCCGAAAAGATATCGCAGAATTGTAGAAAACAAGACAAAAAATTGAAAAATTGCATATGGAAAAATTGACGAAACGAAAAATTGAAAAAATGTGGAATTGAAAAAATAAAAAGTTATAAAATCGGAGCATCGACAAATTGAAAACTTGTAAAAATAAAGAAAATAAAAAACTGAAACGAAAAATTGCAAATGGAAAAATAAAAAATTGAAAACTTGAGAAACTCAATTTGAAAAATTGCAAAATGTATAAATTGAAATTTCAAAAATTGAAATCGGAAAAATATTTGTTTATATTTTGGGGTTTCTTTGTCTTAATATACCTAGTATTCTTTGAATAACTCGATATTCAAAAACATATTTTTAATTCCTTGTAGAGAAATAAGCATTTTGCAGTTAAGCTCCGCCCTCTTGGTTCTCGGCGAATAAAAAAATCATCAGAATAGCGATAGGGCGGGTGGGCGGGCTTACATTTTGCCTTTGTTGTTTTAATATGTGTAGACTTCTTTTCACAACAAAAAACTTAAAACATGTTTAAAAAAGGAAAATTTGTATAAGGAAATACCGATTTTGCAAAAATCCTTACATCGTACAGTCCAAAATCATTGAATAATGTATTAACACTATATTTTTTACTCCTATTATAACATCTTTTGTTCTTTGTGCCAAAAAATTGTTGAAAGAAAACTATGTACATAAAGAAAAAAAAAACAAAGATCTCAGTTGTCAGTTTTTCATTGCCAATCAGATCGAGAGGCGGAGTTTAATTGTACCGTCAAAATTTCTCAAGAAAATTTTGCCCTTTTAAAAACATAACTATTTTATATTGTAATTTGTTGAGAGAAATGAGAATTTTGCAAATAAGCTCCACCATTTATCTCATGATGTATAAAAAATTCATCACAATTGAGAAGGGGTGGGTGGGCGGGGCATATATTTTGTCCATTTTTTCTTAATATACAAAGTCTTTTTAGATAACAAGAAACTGAAAATATGTATATTAACTATCCTGTTCTTGAAAGAAAACTATATATTAAAAAAAAAAAACAAAGATTAAACCCCACCCAACCCCCGATCTCAATTGTGATTAATTTTTCATTCGTTGTTAGACCGGGAAGTGGAGCGTAATTGCACATTTTATTTCTCTACAAAAATTATTTCATTTGAAATTTTTTGTTTTTTCAATTTCACTTTTTTTCAATTTTTCATTTCTTCAGTTTTTCTATTTGCAATTTTTAATTTTTTGTTTTTCTTTTCTACAATTCTGCGATATCTCTTCGCGTTTTCATTTTAAAATTTTCCAGTTTTTCGATTTTTCAACTCTCCAACGTTTCAATTTTTAGATTGTGCCGTTTTGCGATTTGAAATTTCACGAGTTTTGAATATTACAGAGCTTTTGCAGTAATAAACAATGATTATTTTATCGATATATGACATCACATTATTCATTACCATCAATTACCGACTACGTATATTTGATTAACGTAAAATATAAGCCCCGCCCACCCACCCTAACTCAATTGTGATGATTTTTTTAATGGTCGAGAGCCAAAGGAGCGAAATTTAATTCCAAAATCCTTATTATTTCTCTACAAGAAATTACCATGTAAAACGTGTTTTTGAGTAAACTAACTTCGTCTAATTTAATTTTTTTATAAGCCATCATAGCAATCACTGAGAAAAAAAAAATGACAAAGATGTCAAGAAAAATTGAAAAAAATAATTTAAATAAAAAGTTCTCTAACCGCTTGATTTGAGGGGGTTCTTCTATTGGCGTAAAGACGAACAGCAGCATCAACATTTTTGTCACACTTTCCCAATATTAATAGCATATCCGTTTTTTCACAATTCCAAAACATTTTAAAGCAAACGAAAATTGAAAATAAATATTTGGCCGACAGAAATAATTTGTCGTAATTTCGGTTTTGATTATTGCTGTCTATGCGTTTATTATTTAAAAATAAAAATTAATTCAAGCTGTTCACGAAACGTAAAATGGGTTGCCTATGCAGAAATATTCAGGCGTGAATAGATAGAATGAACATTCTGTATTTACAACTTCTCCAGGGCGTCTTTGATAGATATGAGATTTCTCTTACAAACGGTAATGATTTATTTACTAATTTTAGATCTCTGTACCGTTTATCATTTATATTCCTTATCCAAACCCACTTTTTGTGAAATATACAAAGTGGTATTTGAAGTTATTAATAGATTATCTCCATGATTTATTGAACATAAGTCAATACAATTGGTTCGTTTAGTTGAAAAGAAAGCGTGACCGAAATTAAAATTAGTTTCCATTACTTCCATGTTCAACGGTGTATCAACACATATTATTTCGACTTTTTTTTATTTTTTCTATTCTCAAACCATCCATCTGACGCCACCAATGCACTTTCGCCCGCAAATCCGATGAAGAAACCTAAGAAAGTGGGTTAAGCAATAGCAATAAGTATTTATTATTCAACAACCCAATTAACAAACTTAAATAAAGTAATAGTGTCTTATTTTTAACAAAAATTATCTCAACTTAGACTTACGCATCCACTGGCAGTAAAACTAACAATTACAGTATAGTAACAAAATATTCGATAAATCAATCACAAAATATATGTATAAACATTAACTAGAAAAAAGCACAAGTAAAAAGTAATCAACACGTCAAAATGCTCGTAAATTTCCTCTATATTTACAAAAACGCACGACTCATGCGGTGTATATAATCTTACAGAGATAAAATATAACTATATTAATTTGTAAAAATATATCTAAAAACAACTCTCTCGCGCCTCCTTCCTTAGTATCTCACGGGCGTCCAAATGCCGGAGTGTTCATCTCGCCGGTAGTAGTGAGGACGGTTGTCCCTGAAGACTGTCACCGCGGGGAATTGGTTATCCTGGATGTATTTGAGAGTAGCCCGGATCTGAAAGTTAGTTTTTTCGTCGAGAAAACAAGAGCAAAAGTCGCCGACTGTCACCTGCATGACGAAATGGGGCGGCTCGACGTCGGGCGACGTCGACAAATGCTGCAAGATGAATTCGTCGCTCTGCTCCAACCACAAGTCGACGCCTCGTAATGGTTCGTAATTGAAGGGTCCAATCCTGAGAAGGCCCAAGCTGCAGTCGTAAATGTCCAACACCTGCCAAACCACGATTATCGCAAACCTCTCATAAAATCGACGACGTCATGACTTTACCTGCGACACTCCCGTCAAAAATCGGGAACACCTCAGCGGCTGATCCGGACCTTTGTCGGGAAAAGTAGCCGGAAATATCTCCCCCGTCTTCGTATTCACCCCGATCCCGTAGATAATCGGCCAGTGGATCCCACCCCTTATTGTAGTATTCAGTTCGCCCACGCAAGCCAGGGTCAAGTCTATCTCTACAGGGTGTTTATGGAACGAAGCTGAAACAAATTACGCCATCTCTTAATCCCGCAACAAAGATCTCCCAGCCCGGCTCGCTATCATTTAAATAACAATAATGAATTTATGATTCCATTTGTTGACATCGTAATCGTGATTTATTGCCTCCGTCCACAAACATCGTCGTGACGATAACCGCGGAATAAACCGACAATAATGTATTATTTTTAGGTCCGAAATCGGAAAAATCTGTGATAGCGAGCGGCCGTTGTTATCGCCTCTGCTCCTTTTAATCTCTCGTTTCGGTCCGGAACGCATAAATCCAACCGTCTAGACTGGAAACTAATTTCCACGAGCACAAAGCATCTGCAGATATCGTGAATAATCCCTCCAAGAATTTATTTTACGACCGTCCAATTAACTCTGCCCAATTCGTACTTACTCATGACGTTGTAGAACAGTTCTTCGGAATAATGCCTGGGGTCGGTGAAGCCGCCGATCAATTGCAGCTCGATGCGGCCCTCGGGGTAGCCCAGGGCGAGCTCCTGGACGCGCTGCACCATGGTGCAGACGGCCTCGTCGGTGCCGGAGCCGTCGAGGTGGGCGAGGGCCACGGCGCCCGAACCTGGACAAAGAAATTCGGTGTGTCATAGATTTATTAGTTACTATTATAGTGAGAACGCAAGAATTATTCGACTTTATCATTACTAAATGCGAAGCTGTGGGTGTTTTAAATGAAGCTCAAAATGCAAAAACTCGAGGATTAGCATTGTTGCGGACGTTTTCAGATAAATTCTATTAGAACAAACAAAAGAAAGCAAAACCAGGATAAGATCCAAATTAAAGCAACCAGGCATTCGAAAAAAGTGACTAAATTTCTTTCTATCTTCATTCTCAAATCGAAACCAAAACAAGTTCTAAAATTTCATTGTATTATAATCGGGTTCATTGAGCGAGTGGATTCTTTCATGTTTTATCCATGTTGCATGACCTCGAGAGTGCGAAAAAAGTGGTCTTCCGCTTCCGTCCGTCCGTCTTTTAACTTTGAAATTTTATCCTAGACATCGAGATTTTGAAAAAAAAAAATTGAATTCGGTTTTTGATTTTTAAATGTTTAGATTTTTGGTGTTTCTAAATTTCCGATTTCTCAATTTCTCGATTAATCGATTTTTTGAACTTCCGACTTTTCGAATTCTCTATTTTCAATGTTTTAATTTTTTGACTTTTTATTTTTTCGATGTTTCAAAATTTATCGATTTCTCGATTCTTTATTTAGTTAATACTTTAATTTTTCAATTTTTAAATTTTAGATTTTTCACTTTTTTGACATTTCGATTTCTCCATCTTTCGATTATTCAACTTCTCGCTTTTAGATTTTTCGATCTTTGGATATTCCAATTTTTCGACATTTCAAATCTTGAATTTTTCAATTTTTCGATTTCTATTCTTATGATCGTTTCGTTTTTTGATTCTTCAATTTCTTGATTTTTTCAATTCTCAATTTCTCCTTTTTTAATCTCCGATTTTTCAATTTTCCGACAATTCAATTTTTCGATTTTTCAATTATAAATTAAAATTTTGGGGTTTCTAAATTTTCCATTTCTCAATTTTTCGATTTTTCAAAATTCTTCGATTTTTGAAACTTTTAAAGTTTCGATTTCCCGATTCTTTGATTTTTTAGTTCATTGATTTCTTCAATTTTTCAATTTTTGGAATTTTTAAATTTAAAATTTTTGGATTTTTAAAATCTGTGATTAATAATTAAATTTTTCACTTTTTTCATTTATCGGTTTTTTAAGTTTAAACTTTAAATTTTGATCATGATGTTTTTAATTTCGATTTATTGATTTTTCGACTTTTCGATTTTCCAATTTTTTAATATTTTAGTTTTTCAACACTTCAGTTTTGGGATTTTTCAGTTTCTCGATGTTTGAGTTTTTTATTAAATTTTTCGATTTTTAATTTTTTTTATTTAAAATTTAGATTTTTGGATTTCTGGATTTTGATTTTTTAGATTTGTTAAATTCTACATTTTCGATTTTTCCATTTTTCGATTTCCTGTTTTAATTTGTTTGGTGTATATATTTAAATTTTTCGAATTTTCGATTTCTGGACATTTTGGTTTTTCGATTTCTCAATTTTTCAACATTCCAATTTTGGAAATTTTTCAATTTCTGGATTACTCAATGTTTCGATATTTCCACTATTCGATTTTTAAAATCTTTAATTTTTTTTCGGATTTCAATTCTTTAATCACAATTTCAGTTTTTTAATTTTTTACTTCTTCGATTTTTCAAAATTCTTCGATTTTTTTAATTTTAAATATTTCGATCTCCCGAATTTTTGATATTTTTTAGTTCATCGATTTCTTTAATTTTTCAATTTTTGGAATTTTTAAATTTTAAATTTTTCACTTTCTTGATGTTTCGATTTCTCAATATTTCATGTCTTCGACTTCTCGGTTTTCGAATTTTTCGAATTTTAAAACAATCTATTTGGTCCATTTTTCCTTAATATGCGAAGTCTTCTTTTCCCAACAATAAACTGAAAATATGTTTAACTATCCTGTTGTTGAAACAAAACTCGAGATATATATTAAAAAAAAAAAAAAACAAAATTAAGCCCCACCCACCCACCCGAGTCTCAATTGTGATGACTTTTTCAAAGGGCGAGTTTAATTGTAACATCAATATTTCTCTAAAAAATTCTACCCTTTTAAAAACATTTCATATGATAATTTCTTGTAGAGGAATAAAGATTTTGGAAACTAAACTCCGCCCTTTAGCTCACGATGAATAAAGCATTCAACACAATTGCGAAGTGGTACGTGGGCAGGGCTTATACTTTGTCTTTTTTTTAATATACGAAGTCTTCTTTTCCCAATGAGAAACTGACAACATGTTTAACTATCCTGTTGTTGAAAAAAAGTCTATGTATTAAAAAAAAACAAAAACTAAGCCCCACCCACCCACCCGGGTCTCAATTGTGACGAGTTTTTCAAGGGCGGAGTTTAATTGTAACATCAATATTTCTGTAAAAAATTCTACCCATTTAAAACATTTCATATAATAATTTCGTGTAGGGAAATGAAAATTTTGCAAACTAAACTCCGCCCTTCAGTTCATGATGAATAAAGCATTCATCACAAACGAAAAGGGGCGGGTGGGCGGGGCTTCTATTTTGTCCACTTTTTCTTAATATGCGAAGTGTTCTTTTCCCAACAAGAAACTGAAAATATGTTTAACTATCCTGTTGTTGAAACAAAACTCGAGATATATATTAAAAAAAAAAACAAAATTAAGCCCCACCCACCCACCCGAGTCTCAATTGTGATGACTTTTTCAAAGGGCGAGTTTAATTGTAACATCAATATTTCTCTAAAAAATTCTACCCTTTTAAAAACATTTCATATGATAATTTCTTGTAGAGGAATAAAAATTTTGGAAACTAAACTCCGCCCTTTAGCTCACGATGAATAAAGCATTCAACACAATTGCGAAGTGGTACGTGGGCAGGGCTTATACTTTGTCTTTTTTTTAATATACGAAGTCTTCTTTTCCCAATGAGAAACTGACAACATGTTTAACTATCCTGTTGTTGAAAAAAAGTCTATGTATTAAAAAAAAACAAAAACTAAGCCCCACCCACCCACCCGGGTCTCAATTGTGACGAGTTTTTCAAGGGCGGAGTTTAATTGTAACATCAATATTTCTGTAAAAAATTCTACCCATTTAAAACATTTCATATAATAATTTCTTGTAGGGAAATGAAAATTTTGCAAACTAAACTCCGCCCTTCAGTTCATGATGAATAAAGCATTCATCACAAATGAAAAGGGGCGGGTGGGCGGGGCTTCTATTTTGTCCACTTTTTCTTAATATGCGAAGTGTTCTTTTCCCAACAAGAAACTGAAAATATGTTTAATTATCCTGTTGTTGAAAGAAAACTCCATATATTAAAAAAAAAAGACAAAAATTAAACCCCAATCACCCACCCCGGTCTCAATTGTGATGACTTTTTCAAGGGCGGAGTTTAATTGTAACATCAGGATTTCTCTAAAAAATTCTACCCTTCTAAAAACATTTCATATGGTAATTTCTTGTAGAAAAATGATGATTTTCCAGACCAAACCTCCGCCCTTTAGCTCACGATGAATAAAGCATTAAAAACATTCAAAAAATTGCAATTTTTTTACTTTTTCGATTTATCGATTTTTGTAAGTTTAAATTTTAAATTTTTCAATTTTTTGACTACTCGATTTCTTGATGTTTCAATTTTTCAATTTCGATTTCTCGATTTTTCACTTTTTTAATTTTTTAATTTTTCGATACTTTAGTTTTGCAATTTTTCAATTGCCAATACCTGGCAGGATAACATAGATTTTGGCAAATCACATACCCACCCTCTCTTTTTTTAGAGGATATATAATTTGCCAAAGTCAGTCTTATCATGGCAAGTATTAGCCCCGCCCACCCACCCTCTCTTTTCTTAGAGGGTATGTGATTTGCCAAAATTAGTCTTATCCTAGCTAGTAGCTGCTAAGATAAGACTGAATTTGGCGAATGAGGATGGGTGGGCGGAGCTAGCACCTGCTAGGATAAGACTGACTTTGGCAAATGACATAAACTCTAAGAAAAGAGAGGGTGGGTGGGCGGGCCTAATATCTGCCACGATAAGACTAATTTTGTCAAATGACATACCCTTTAAGAAAAGAGAGGGTGGGGGGGCGGGGCTAATATTTGGCAGGATAAGACTGACTTTGGCAAATAACATATCCTCTAGGAAAAGGGAGGGTGGGTGGGCGGGGCTAATACCTGGCAGGATAAGACTAGTTTTGGCAAATAACATACCCTTTAAGAAAAGAGAGGGTGGGTGGGCGGGGCTAATATCTGCCAAGATAAGATTGATTTTGGCAAATGACATAACCTCTAAGAAAAGAGAGGGTGGGTGGGCGGAGCTAGTACCTGCTAAAATCATTTGTACCTTAGCAACTACTACCACCTAAGACAGTGTGAAAAATCGCAAAACTAAAGATTTTTCAATGTCTGTTTTTTGACTTTTTAGTTTCTCGATTTTTAAATTTTACATTTTTGATTTTTTTATTTTTCGATTCCCCGATCTATTTTTTTTTTAATGGAATTCAATTTTTCGAATTTTCGATTTCTGGACATCTCGGTTTTTCGGTTTCTCGATTTTTCAACATTCCAATTTCGGGAAATTTTTCATTTATGAATTCAATTTTTAGCGTTTCTAAATTTTTCATTTTTCATTTTCTCAATTTTTTCATTTTTCATTTTCTCAATTTTTTAATGCTTCGATTTTTGAGTGTTTCCTTTATCGATTTTATAAAATTCTTTGGTTTTTTAAATTTTAAATATGTCGATTTCCCGACTTTTTGATGTTTTAGTCCATGGATTTTTTCAATTTTTGAATTTAAAATTTTTCACTTTTTTTATGTTTCGATTTCTCGATCTTTCACGTCTTCGACTCCTCGCTTTTAGATTTATCGGTTTTCCAGTTTTTCGAATTTTAAAACCTGTAACTATTCAATTTTTCACTTTTTCGATAGTTTTTTTTAGTTTAAACTTTCAAATTTTTCAATTTTGAATTTTTGAATATTTCGAC